GTCCAGTCCAGTCCAGTCCGGTCCAGTCCAGTCCAGTCCAGTCCGTCTTTTACAACATGCCGTAGTTGCAACGGACGGTAATAACAAGGTCAAGGTTAGTATCACTGATCGACTATTTGGAGTAAACAATGTTATTTCTTACAAATTTAAACAAAATTTAGCTTTATTGTGGCTTTTTGAAGGTATAAAAACCCGTGGAAACGGTGAATTTCTATAATAGATTAAAAATAATTATTAAACTGTGATCTCGACTATGATTGAAATTATCGAAGTACAATACTATTTCGTTGTATTAAATTTCAATAGTATTAATGAGAATATTGTTTGATATTTTTAATATATTTCATGTTATTTACAAAATGTACTGTAGTTTTGCACACAATATAATCAGTGCGAGCACAATGGCTTCGTTTCAATTTGAGCATGTAAAAAGTGAGTATTTTATAGCGTTGCCTTTCACGGTATAGTAAATATATAAAACGTCTGATAATTGATAAATAATCAGTGCGACCACAACGGCTCCGAAATAACAGACTATAAGGTAAATTAAAAACAGCAAAGCTTTACCTACCTCGATATATTTTTCTAAGGCGCTAAATTACGTAAATTTTCGGCGAACAATCAATATTTTCTTTGTGTTTCCTCGACGAAAGCCGTGAACGAAAGTGTGCATATCAAAGTGTTCACATCAGATGAAAATGCTCGTCGGAAAAACTCGGTATTTGTCGTATTTTACGAATCTGTCACGTGATTTACCACCGTCCGTACACGGTACACCGCGACACGAAATTTAGAGCTATATGAAAGTTTCATGCCCATGTATGGGCATGCAACAAAAACGCATGACTCGGAAGTAGTCTTAGGTACGTCTTGACTCTTAAGTTTGTACCAAACCAGGTACGCGGCAAAAGTTGTCGGAGTACCAGTCAGGTACGGCTAAAAATATTGAATTATCGCACCCTGTACTACAGTGAATTATATAACGCGACTTAACGTGACGTTGTTAATCTCCAAATCTGAGAATAAAGTAGGTCGTTTACATTTTGCAACTTACCTCAATCGCTTGCTGCAAAACAAAGTCTGTCGAAGTCAAGGACTAAATACTGAAGAATCGCGGACTTTCAATGGACCATTTGCATTATAGACTAAATTTTGATCTAGACAAAAATTTCACCACAGCTTGAAAGAGCATAACAAAATTAGTAATATTCCAAAGTTTCGTTGCGAAATGTTGTAAAATGCGGATAATATAGCCTTGCGAAGTTTGCCGTTTTTCAGTCATTTTGTATTACGCGGGGGAAATTGACAGCCCAATCGGGTGTTGGGGCTGTCAATTTCCCGTTTGTAATACAAAATGGCTGAAAATTGCAAATTTCGCAAGGCTATATTATCCACATTTTAGAACATTTCGCAACGAAACTTCGGAATATTACTAATTTTGTGATGCTCTTTCAAGCTGTGATGAAATTTTTGTCTAGATCAAAATTTTGTCTATAATGCAAATGGTCCATTGTTCAAAACGCAACTTTAATGAGTTTCAACTGAACAGCTTTGTCACATATGAACATGCAAATCAATTTCAGAAAATATCAAAAAACTAAAGCAACAAAAATTTGAGGACTTTCAAGTAATTCTTTACAAATTCAAGGACATTCAAGGCCTTGAATTCAAGGACATTTAAGGATTTTCAAGTTTTGTAGGAACGTGAAATTAGGTCGAGAGGACTATGGAGAAACCCGAGCATGTCATTTGGTCAATACTAGCTATATGGTCATAATTTTAGGCCAAAATAATTTAGTCATGTTTTAGTGGCCTGATTTCGAAATTTCGCCGGTTTAAAGGAATGCGGTACATGAATAACATGATCATATTGTAACTTTTCTATTTTTTAAGGAAGATATATGCAAAAAATATGGCGTGTTTTTATAATTTAACGTTGAAACTAACCCTCATTAATGTAACACCGTTTTCATCTTTTATTATTTTGAAATTGGCCAATGTTGCTGGAGTATTTTTAGCAAGTAATGAAAACGTGTAGATCACTTGGAAAACGTCACTTCGCTAGAGCAAATTCATCTAGTGCAAAACCGACTGAAATGCTGCACGAATATCGTCCGGTCCATTAGTTCACTCATAAAAGTGTTAAATTCGACGAATTTGTATTCTCAACACTTCTATTCTGACCAAGGTTCTGCAGAGTAGTGGGACTAGGTGGGTGAAATAGCTCCTACAATACAAAAACCATGTACATATAAATATGTATATATAAACTATCAAATATTATGAACAATAAAAATATTAAATAAATAGTAGCCCCATTCAGTTTACTCTGTAAAAAAACTATTAAATGTAAAATGTATGTAAAACTATTCTGATTTAACTCAGTTTCGTTGTGATATATATAGTGAATGAATATGTGCTGGCATTTCAAAAAATTTTGTCAACACCACGTTGAAAAAATTTCCCATGACATACAATAGCAACTAAAAAGTTCCCATTTGCACTAATTAATACATTTCTATTCTTATATTAATTATGTTATTTGGCACTCCCACTGGTTTCGTATAATGAAAGGATATTAGTCCATTATCGCCATGCAAACATACAAAGAGCTTATATATTTTCATTGTACGTCATGGGAAATATTTTCAATTTGGTGTTGACAAAAATTAATGAAACCTAAAAAAATTATTTACCTATTAATCTGACGGTAAACAGTAAACTGAGTAGCGAGGATTGTAAATATGGCATATTTTCATAATTTAACGTTGGAATTCGCGCATTAATGTAACAGCGTTTTCATTTTTTATTATTTTGAACATGTCGAATGTTGATGGAGTATTTTCAAGTAAGTAATGAAAACGTGTAGATCACTGTAGGAAAACGTCACTTCACTCGAGCAAATTCGCCCAGTGGAAAACCGACTGAAATGCTGCACGAATATCCTGCATTAGTCATGCTTTAATTTAGATGTAGTTCACTCATATAAAAGTGTTAAATTCGTCCAATTTGTATTCTTAACACTTCTATTCTGACAGAGGTTCTGCAGACTAGTGTGAGTAGGTGGGTGAAATATAGCTCCTAGAAAAATCATCATACAAACTAAGAAATATTATGAACAATAAAAATATATAGTACTATTCAGTTTACTCTGCATTCTTTCTCACCTAATATTCATCCAAATTTAACCACCATTTAACGAGTTGTATTTGTGTATTTGCATGGGCAATGTCGATTAGTCCCACAAATTTTCGTATCCATACAGATAGTTTTTGAGTTATAGTGCTGGCAGACAAACACTAGTTTAAAAATTGCTCAGTGTTTTGCAACAGGATAATATACGTGCAGTTCCTAAATAGACTACAGACTTAGATTGAGGACGCGGACGTCAAAGACGACGTGAGGGCACAGCACGTCATTTTCACGTCGTCTTTGACGTCCACGTCCTCGATCTAAATCTGTCTATCATCTAAAATGCAACGCTACATCTACACTACACATGGTTAAAGCATAATGTCGATTATTTATTTAAAAAATTCCTGGTTTCTGATTGGCTAACAACCAACTGTGAAAATGTCATATCAACTCAATGGCTAACCAAATTCGGATTTTTCACATTCATAATAGCAAAATGACGTCAAAGAGTCAATATGAAAAAAATTTGGACGCGTTTGCGCCATATTACTATGGCGACGAGAATCATATTGACTCGCTGACGCCATTGATATGACGTAATGACGGCTGCCGAAGGACTAAGGAATTGTTTTTTTCTTAATACAAATAAAATAAAATAAAATAAAATACAAATGTTTGTTTTGAATTTTTTAAATAAATAATAAAACAATTATTGAATTCGGTTTTCGCACAATATGAAGAATTACCAAGCCCTCAGTTTGCCGTTATCAACCTCAGCCTTCGGCTTCGATTGATAACGGCAAACTTCGGGCTTGATAATTCTTCATATCGTGCTCAACCGTTGATTGGCTAAAATAAACGTTTAAGCGTTGATTGGCTAAAATAAACGGCGCAAAAAACGTTTAAATTTAATGCTACATGATTGGAAAAGATGCAGCACTCTTCAATTTTTAAAACAAAGCAAGGATGTCCTGCATAACGAAGGGATTATAAATAGTATATTGTATTTCACTCCTAACTTGATTAATTGTTGGCAGACAGTTTTTCAAGTTCGCGCATATTTTGCACGCGCAGTAGAACCGTGACACTGCCCCGTTAATGAAATATCCTTTCATTTTACGAAACCAGTGGGAGGGCCAAATAATATAACTAACAAGGACAGAAATGTATTAATTAGTGCAAATGGGAAATTTTTGGTTGCTATTGTACGTCATGGGAAATTTTTTCAACGTGGTGTTGACAAAGATTTTTGAAATGCCAGCACGTGACGTATAGGCATTCACTATATCATATCACAACGAAACTGAGTTGAATCAGAATAGAGCTGAGTTGATTCAGAACAGAACAGAACAGAGTTGATCATTAGTGGAGTCTAAGAACTACATCTTTGAAAAGCAAGTGAGTTAAAAGAATTATTTTATATAGTATGAAAGTTTTTATTGTGCACTGCAGTGTTATGGTATAATATGTATAGTTACTGTGAGACTTTGAAATTTCTATTACTGTATATATTTGATAAGAAACAGAGGGACTGTTCGATAATAATAGCCCACCCAGGAAAATTTAACCGAATATAGCCATAATATGGAACTGAATACGAAATAATATAAAACTCCGAGGAGGGACTTTAAAGTCAGTTTGGCGCCCCTTAACCTCGATAGAACATTTAGTTAAGTGATGCAAAATTAATTTTTAGTAGTGGGGTCTGATTACGAATTTCTCACAACAAATATTATCACTTCACATTTGTACTGTTTATCACTGCGCACTCTCACTTTATGACTGCGCAAATTGGTTATCAGTGTACACTAAAATTAGCTATGGTTTTCCGCCCATGCATGCACCGCGAGTTTCGGACAACTCAACTACAAGTATATATATGCTGGACCTGACAATGATGGGGAACATTCCACCCAAGCGTAAGAAAATTATTCATGGCTATCATGAGCCTTGAACAAATATCAGTAATTTCAAGTTTTTTTAGACATGCTAGCCTGATCATCTTAGGGTTGGGTATATAACTGACGTTACACGTCTGATCATCATAGTACACAACACTAAATTTTTAGAAACCTAATTTTTTTGGCTTAGGGAACTCTATGTTTGCAACGGTAATTCAACTTGATCTACGAATGATTCAGTTGTCCAAGGACGATCAAAATTGCACGAATGCGATGGACAGGTGCGATTTGGCGAGAAAACATACCATTACTTGTGCAGAAGTGCCAGAACACGTACTTGCATTTATAATGAAACACATCCGAAAAATTTTACTCACTCATTTGAATGGCATGCATTCCTACTAATAATAAGTTTTTAACTGTCAGAAATCAAAAACTAAAATCAAAATATCCCTTGTTTTGACGCTTGCCACGTATTTCATTACTTAGGGTAGTAGTTCACTTTTTGGCACGTATACTGTATTTCGATAAAATTGACTACCTTTAGCCAATCAGAAACGAGTAATTTTCTCATATGTATGTCATTCGTCACAGACACAGTATGACGCTTCTGAAAGCATTATAATAGATCCGTTAATTTTCTTTCTTTGCACAGAATGTCGCTGAGCCAGAGTATCAAACTTTACAACGCAGACGGCAATCACAAGCTGTTTCACTCAAGTGACGGTGATTTGATAAAAACGGACACATACATAAAGGCTGAAGTCCTTAGTGGGAAGTGGATTTTGTACCGGACAGCAGACTACAACAAAAGTCTCCAAGATGGTGCACGTCCGTACGAACACATGGTTTTGCCAGCTGATATAAAAGTGGTTGATATATCTGACGTCAACGGTTCTTTGTTCCATGTACCAAGTGCTGAACAGGCGTTGATGTTGTTTGAATTCAATTATTACGGGGGAGGAAATCGGGTTAGTGCAACAAGTGGAAACCCTGACTATTAGTTTGAAATTTAATTTCAATGCATTTTGTCATGTATTTTTTGTCTCTCGAACAGGAATACACTGAAGAACAGGGAGATCTCAAAGACTTCCCAAAAGGGGCCAGGTCTGCTATGGTGGGCAAGGACAACGATTGGCAAGTGTACCCAAAGGCAGGCGAGCAGGGTACACCACAAAAATTGACCAGGGGAACTGATTACGCAACAACTGACGAGATGAAGATGCCGGCGGTAAACAGCATTAAACCATATTAATAGTTCACACTTTAGACGTTCTTTGGTTTTTAAAGATTTATTAAACGAGCTTTCGACTGCCAGTCTGCAGTCTTCAACGGGCAGGTGATAAAGAAGACTGCAGACTGGCTGTACATGTCGAAGGCTCGTTTAATAATTTTTTAAAAGCAGAGAACGTCCAAACTATTAATATATATGAATAATCCTGGTTATGCTTCTACCATTTTTAAAAGCATTAAACCACTTACCCACTGACATCTTAGACATCAAGGTGGCAAGTATACAGCTCAACGAAGCTTCAGTAGAAATACCTTGTAGCATTTTTGGTTCATTTGGACGTGTTTCGAATTAATTTACAATGAGTCAGCCTTCTTTATAGATTGTATAATTTGTTTTGCATGGATCACACAATCCTGCACGGAAAACCATTCCCTTAATATTTAATGGGTATCCCTTAATATTTAATGGTACCCTTAATATTTAATGAGTAATGAAGGCATATATGGGTAGATATCTTTTCCTCTTATGCCGGAATATATTAATGAACTTTTGCAATATATGTGACCGGGACATAACAGATCCGTGAAAACTGTTAGAATTTTCTCTTTTATTTTGAACACCCCACAAGCTATAAAAGTTAATGTAATATAACTAAGTAAGAGTGGAAAAGTCATATTGATTACATAACTAAGAAATTATTAAAAAGTATCTATAAACATTCTTTGTAAAGTTCGTCACTACCTAAATAAACATCTCATAACTCTAATCTCATAACTCTATATCATACTCTTGTTTACCCACATTTATATTACGCCGATATACTGTGGGCTAGCAACTATAAAACAAGATTAAAGTCAGACGTATCAACGATACAGAAAAAGATTCTGAAAATAATCATCATTTTTGCCTTATACTTTCTCATCTTCAACCCTAAAATACTAAAGATTACTAAGATAAATGCTTTTCAAGTTGGTTTGTTCACATTCGACACAGTAAAAAATACACTATCACCTCAATTTGATTCACTTTGTATAAAAAAACAGTGTTATTCATTGCCATAATACCAGAGGCTCTATGAAATTACACAAACACTACAATAAAACAAACTATGGACTGTATTCCGGCACAAAAAACAGATGCACAGTATGTGGAATATGTTGCCAGAATACATTAAAAATAGCGATAGTAAATACATATTTAAGTGCAATCTAAAATTATATCTTCTTTCGTCAGAAGATTGTTAGCTGTACTCTCAAAAAATGTAAATAAAAATAATTGATAACTTTATAAAGTTAATTTGTATTAGTGTACCTCGTATATCTTGAACCTGACATTATCCAACTCTATTCTCCTTTGTTATATTAGTTGTTTTTTTTTAAATTTTTATAGGGTGGACTACTAGAAAAGCCCTGACGGGCTTGTTAGTCTTCCTTCCATATGAATTGTGTATTTATATTTTAATAAAACTGTAACTGTATAACCTTCTCTGAAGTTGTTTGGTTATTGTTTGGTTATTCACCAATTAATAAAACAGTACCATCACGAGCCACGGCCTATTTCTTCTTTATCACAGAGATCGGCCCACTGAAACCCCGGTAAACCGGCAGTGAAACTTTGTAAGGATGGCTTCAGACCACAACACAGGTAGTTTAAAAGACATCTTGCAACAGGCACTGAACTGCTACAAAAGTCACTTGTAATTTAATATCTATGTCAAATTGCTAAATACTATGAGGTGAGATTTCAATATCCTGCTAGCTATAGTCCAAAAAATATGCCAAGGGGAAAATACGCTATAAAGTAGAGAATATTTAAGACAATAACAAAATTACAACGCTAAACTTCATATATACGGGTAATTGGTAATATATATTGCCTTTCTTTATAGTACGGAAATTTGTGGAAACACCAGTCGTCTTATTATGATTATTAATTTGTGATTATTGATTTCCGTATGATTTACGGTTAAAAAAATCCTCACGAAAAAGTTTGGATTCGACGGTATTGCCAACTCATTAAGGCTTACTTTATATTAAACGTTATCATAATATAGCTATCATGTGCCAAACCTATTGTGACACAAATGTTTGAGGTTCGACAATTAAATTAAATTGAGCCTAGCAACTGATCCATGTCGCAAGTACAACGGAATACACGAATAAAACATAACAGAAACATCTCGTTATTTTCAGTCAATCCTGTCTGTCCGCTTTTTGAATCTACGAAGTAGATTATATGCTATCGACGTGTTAGCTGTTCACTGTACACTGTTAACTTAGCCAATCAGCGACTAGTATTACCAAAAATTACGTAATTACAAATCTAATATTCTAATGCCCCTGGTGGATTGATTCCACTTGAGTGGATAAGATTCATGGAATTGATAAACTAAAGGAGTTCCTTCACTATATTAACAACTTCCATCCCACTATTAAATTCGAAATTGAGTACTCCTATGAAAGAGTCCATTTTCTTGATACTAATATTTACATTAACAACCTTAAACAACTGGAATCTGACCTTTTTATTAAACCTACAGATAAAGCTCTACTGTTACATAATGAATCCTTTCACCCTAATAACTGCAAAATTAGCATTATATATAGCCAAACCCTTAGATACGTACGGCTAATTACTAACCGTAACAGATTGAGTGAACGCCTTCAAGACCTACGTGTTAATTTAATTACTAGGGGCTATACTAACAATATAATTGATAATGCATTTAATAAAGCTCTACAATACACTCAGTCCAATCTATTAATTGACAAAAATCAGGAAAATAATAATAAAATTGTTCGGATTGATGATAATTCTACTAACCAGTGTCCAACTAATGAACCTAATAGTAATAAACCCATACTAATGTTCTCAGTACCATATAACACTAATACCACTCATATAGGATCTATCTTGCGTAAATACTGGCATCTTATTGACCAAGACCCATCACTAAAGCTTTTATGGCCCGAACCCCCTTTGGTTTCCTACAAACGCAATCATAACATATTCCAAGCTCTCAAATAATTAACACTAACAAAATTAACCGCAGAACTAACACCACTTCTGACAGCGGATTCGATATGATGAGATACGTTTGTTGGAGTTCCGTCATTGGTCATGGCAGTTCTGGATATTTTGGCCATGTTTTTGCAACAGAAACCTCACGTTTTGAACAATAATGTATAACACTTTCAATAGCATCTGTCAATGACCAGAGAAAGGACATGTTGCGTACTCACTTAAAAGATTTAATCGTCCTGATTGGCACTTGAAAAGGATTAACATTGACGTCCACAGCCAATTTTTGGGTTAGGATAAAACGCGGATACGGACGGACGGATGGATGGCGGACGGACGGACGGATGAGTGGCGGACGGACGGCTTCCAAAAAATGTTTTTCAGCCTTTTTTTAGTCATATCCGCGTTACGCGGATATGGTCCAGAAACCAAAAGGATAAAACGCGGATATGGTCCAGAAAACGTTTTCCAGCCCTTTTTAAGTCATATCCGCGTTTTATCCAAAAGGATAAAACGCGGATATGGTACAGAAAACGTTTTTCAGCCCTTTTTAAGGCATATCCGCGTTTTATCCAAAAGGATAAAACGCGGATATTGTCCAGAAAACCGTTTTCAGCCCTTTTTAAGTCATATCCGCGTTTTATCCAAGGATAAAACGCGGATATGGTCCAAAAAACGTTTTTCAGCCCTTTTTAAGTCATATCCGCGTTTTATCCAAAAGGATAAAACGCGGATATGGTCCAGAAAACGTTTTTCAGCCCTTTTTAAGGCATATCCGCGTTTTATCCAAAAGGATAAAACGCGGATATTGTCCAGAAAACCGTTTTCAGCCCTTTTTAAGTCATATCCGCGTTTTATCCAAGGATAAAACGCGGATATGGTCCAAAAAAGTTTTTCAGCCCTTTTTAAGTCATATCCGCGTTTTATCCAAAAGGATAAAACGCGGATATTGTCCAGAAAACGTTTTTCAGCCCTTTTTAAGTCATATCCGCGTTTTATGAACTTTTATCCAAAAGGATAAAACGCGGATATGGGCCAAAAAACGTTTTTCAGCCCTTTTTAAGTCATATCCGCGTTTTATCCAGAAGGATAAAACGCGGATATGGTCCAAAAAACGTTTTTCAGCCCTTTTTAAGTCATATCCGCGTTTTATCCAAAAGGATAAAACGCGGATATTGTCCAGAAAACGTTTTTCAGCCCTTTTTAAGTCATATCCGCGTTTTATCCAAAAGGATAAAACGCGGATATGGGCCAAAAACGTTTTTCAGCCCTTTTTAAGTCATATCCGCATTTTATCCAAAAGGATAAAACGCGGATATGGTCCAAAAAACGTTTTCCAGCCCTTTTTAAGTCATATCCTCGTTTTATCCAAAACTTTTTAAGTCATATCCGCGTTTTATCCAAAAGGATAAAACGCGGATATGGTCAAAAGAACGTTCTATAAGGGCATATCTATATGTATAAAGAATATTGAATATTGTCCTAGAATTTGAACAAATAAAAACCAATGTCTCTTCGCTTAATTACTTACTGCGAGATAAGCTAGAGAGTTCTAAAATTACAATTTAGTGTTAATAAAGTTCAATTTAGTGTCAGTTATCTGGTATGTATTACTCCAATTTTATGACAACGTAATGTGCTGTTTTTCAAATGCTTTGATGCAATGCAGTTATAGGTTTAAATATACCTACAATTCGTTATAACAGTTAAGATATGACAATTGCCGTACGGCCTACTTTTACGCGAACGCAAATTACAACTGCAACTTTCATGCTTAATTTTCTCTGTTATCTGGGCATGTAGTAATGTAAGTTTATGCCAATGCAATCTGCTATTTTTCAAGGGCTTTTCAATGCAGTTATCGGTTTAAATATACCTCAAATTCCCGTTAAGATATGACAATTGCTATACGGCCTACTTTTACGCGAACGCAAATTACAACTGCAACTTTCATGCTTAATTCTCTGTTATCTGGGCATGTAGTAATGTAATTTTATGCCAATGTAAGGTGCTATTTTTCAAGGGCTTTTCAATGCAGTTATCGGTTTAAATATACCTAAAATTCTCGTTAAGATATGACAATTGCCGTACGACCTACTTTTACGCAAACGCAAATTAGCTACAATTACAACTTTCATGCTTAATTTTCTCTGTTATCTGGGCATGTAGTAATCTAATATTATGCAATGTAATGTGCTGTTTTTTCAAGGGCTTTTCAATGCAGTTATCGGTTTAAATATACCTACAATTCTCGTTAAGATATGACAATTGCCGTATGGGCTACTTTTACGCAAACCGCAAATTACAACTGCGAGATAAGAGTTCTAAAATTAGAATTTTGCAATAATCATGGCAGGCGGAAATACGTTTCTCTTTAATTACCGAACAACTGTCTTTACAACAAAGTTGCCCGAGAACGATAGAACATTCGTTGTCAGGAAGCTGGTAGACAACCTCGTACCCAGGGCTAGCCGCGAATTGAAGGCGGCGGCGTAGCCCTGGTAAACGCTGGTCACGTGACTCGAACATTACGTAATTGTTACTTTTCTGATCCGGGGGGTGAATTCTAGAGGTGAAACTCGACGACCAACAGTTTTTAGGTTTTTAGTACGAAATTCTTCAATCTTCCCTGTGAATTTTGCATTTCAAGCTTTTCTCAAAGTACGGCGATCGATCAAATGGATCAATACTTTCTGTGGAAAAAACTCAGTGAGATTTGTTCGTATGCGACGTTTAAAAGACTTGGATATGTCGCTCAACGGCTCAAGACGCTCGATCATTGCACAGGTTTATGGTTTAGTACTTTGTTCAGTTTGTTGCGACTTGCGAAGCAAATGAATGCAAATTCAACTCTTGTATCATGACTAAAAGTTGGTTAGTAGAGGGACAACTGATACAAAAGATATGAATACTTCAGCTTCAAACTAGGAACAAGTTCTGATTTCAGAAGTTCATGGACATCCCTAATATATGGACATTGATATTTCACCAATATGTAAATATGACTATTAAATATTTAAAAGGATTGCTGTTGTATATGTACAAGTGTTGTGCTGTGGTATTTACGTTTTAACCCTTTAAGTCAATGCACCCAGATGCGCCCTACTTTGTTAGTTTACTCTGTCTAACGCCAGACAATTTTACTTGTCAGGGGGAAAGTGCATGCTGCCACTCAATGGGTTAACATAGTCGATAAACATGCCAAATGATCCTTGACCGTGGTAGTGCATTTTTGCACTTGCTGGATGATATCGCAACCAAGCATTGTTTCAGAGGAAGAGCCCTGGGATCATGCTGTGTAGCAATTGGAATCTCACGTCACGAAGGTCTTGCATAAAGCTGGCAAGACCTTCACTCAGAAGCCAGGATTAATATTAATTCCCCACATAAACACTTGGAAACCGGACTGTCCCATCTGCCATATGCAGGACAAAAAAAACATGCAGCCTAGACTTTAACTGTTAAACAACCAAATCAGCATTGTAAACAGTGTGATGATTTTTGCTTAGCCCAAACCAAAGCCAGTTTTCTAGAATTAATTCGCAGAATCCTAACAACTGGACCTCCAACTTGAAGAGCTAGCTGTGCTTACAAAGTCAACAATTACTGTGCATGGGCAACCCTGAATTGAAGTGACTAGAGCAAATCTTCAAAGGATAATAGAGAGATCAGATTTGACTTCCACTACTGCTATTGCTATCATTAACTATTAACCAGATAAGTTTCATTTATCCAATCAAACAATCGGATGCAACTGCCAGATCAAGTAGTGGTAGTGGAAGTCAAATTTGAATCTTTCTGTATGGATTTCAGAGAGACCAGTCATTATTTGCTGATACATTATTATAACTTGTATAATCAAAAGCTACTATATTCATTTATGATATTAAAAATTGATATAATTATCTCTAAAGTGAGACTAATTTAAATATTCATAACATGAAAATGATTCATGCAGGTGATTGAATAAATCATGTAGTGTACATTCTGAATGTCTACAAGTTCCTTGACATTATTTTTCCAGTACAGTGTAAAACTATATAAAGATGACACAGGTTGCAGGTATTAAGTTGCATGTCCACCAGTGTGCTGAAATACCATCCAGTGATCTGGTCTTGTTCATTGTTACTTGCATATATCTTGCTTAATTTAACTGATTCTGCCCATTTCTTGTACCCATAAATTTCTTTTCAATAATCTAGAAAACTTCAAAATCATTCAAAAAATTAATTTCAAATTATTGAAGTCTTCAGAAAATAATTATGGCAACAAGGTAGTTACAAGCCACACTGCAGAGTTAGGCAATTTTTCAAAAGATCTCAAGGGTACAAAAGGTTTATACCTTTGTATAGGGGGCAAGGGAACAAAATATATGTAGGGGCAAGGGAATAAAATAATGAAATTTTGAGATTCGGGGGCAGGTTTTTACGATGGGGTGCTAAACATTTTCCCTAAAAAATCCCTGACCAGCTGCAGTTGTCATGGATATTAAAAATACTCATTAACTCACTGACATTAAATAATGCTGAATAAATGCTGAAACTGATGTTTGACTATTAAAATATCCTAGTAGTTCAAGACCTTGAGGTTCATCAGATTTTTGCTTTGTAAACCTGGCCACTCTGTTATTAATACACAACACACCATCATCATACACAACACAGAAAAATAATGGCATATTTAAATAATTTCAGGTCATTAAATGTAAACGTAAAAAAAACAAAGTATTTGAAGTTAATACTGCTGTGAACAACTGTAGTTAATACTGTAAACACGTTTCTCGCAGCGATAAATCAATCAATTGTAAATAATAATCATGTGAGAAGTAGAACTTTACATAGAGCTGGTCAGTGTAACAAATAATTAAAGGCAACCGCATTGCTAATTCTGTGGCATTGCCAACATTGTTACTACGTGCACGTAGTAGTTACTACGTGCACGTAGTAACTCATGGGAATGTGCTAAATAATTTGTAACAATAAAATACTTCTAGACATTTTCAAATTCATACTGTACCTTTTACTTGATGGAAATCATCACAAATAGTACGTGCGAGGTTGCAATATTTGTCTCCATAATTGTCCTTCGAAAGCCGAAACATCGCGTCATCGCCTCCTCGGCGATTTATATGCGATATAAAAGAAGATTGACGTACATTGGACGTAATATATAAACGTAACACATTAAAAAGAAAGATTACAACAAAAAATAACAGAATATAAATAATCCACGCCAATTCAAGTTCTATTCGTGAACTTTTCGTCGCCCCCCTGTCTTTATTTCTATAAAGCACGCTCGCAGGCTAATACTCCAAGAATCTTGGAGTATTTGCCTGACACGTGACCAGCGTTTACCAGGGCCATGTCGCTGCCTTCAACTCACGACTGGCCCTGGGTACGAGCTTGCTATAAAAATTGGTTTAACTTTTCACAATCGATTTTGTACGCGAGTTAAAATATGATAATATACAGCCTGACTGCGCAACAAATTTACCATGTTTCCGCCCAGGTTCGAACCGGGATCTTGCGCGTGTGAAGCGCACGGGCTAACTACTACGAAAAAGTACTTGTCCGGTGAAGCACGAGCTCTGTCCGGTTGCGGAATTTTGCTCAAAACACCAAATGCAGCTTCTGCCAAAGATCAAACAGGGTACCCTGCGCGCGTAAAGCGCACGTGATGACTGCTACACTACAGAAACAAGCGCATGCTCGGAACCCTTTGCAAACTAACCCAGTTTCAAACGTTCAATATTGACTAAAAATTCATTCATTTGATCCTCCTGCAGCAGTCATTTTTCATTCTTCTCTTGAAGCAATAGAAGGAGCACTGACGTGCCATGTAAGAAACGATTGTTGATTTAGTTGCAGTAGGATGTATTTTTCTGGTTTAAATGAAATATTTTTTCTCCATTATTTAAGAAAGTAAAATGATGTAAAGTACAGTAGGCACGTAGATTGTCAGCTGTCAGGATGGCCGAGCGATCAAAGGCGCCAGACTCAAGTTTCCAAACTTGCTCTGCTAATGCGCAGCCAAAGATCGTTCTGGTCCACTAATGTGGGCGTGGGTTCGAATCCCACTCCTGACAGAAAATTTTAAAATTATTTCGTGAGGCCGTTGAATATATTGGTGCAATTCTTAATCCTGAGGATGACTACAAACCAGTCGAAACGTTGATTAAAAACCAAAATGTTGTTCGGACTTACTGTTATTTTGAGTTTTGTTAACATATTTAATCGAACCGTCCTGACCGCGTAGCTCAGTTGGAAGAGCATATTGGGCTAGTATTCCAAAGGTCGTTGGTTCGAATCCCCCCGTGGCCGGGCATATTTTTCAAGCTCGCCCGGTGTGGATATGCACTCAGAGTAACATCACAGACATATTAGTCACCTGAGTACACAACACCAGCACAGAACAAAATCATATTACAAGAACACATTGGTATTGAAGGAACTAGATACTGTTCCGAAATATCACTTAATCGAACCGTCCTGACCGCGTAGCTCAGTTGGAAGAGCATATTGGGCTAGTATTCCAGAGGTCGTAGGTTCGAATCCCACCGTGGCCGGGCATATTTTTCAAGCTCGCCCGGTGTGGATATGCACTCAGAGTAACATCACAGACACATTATTCACCTGAGGACACAACACCGGCACAGAAAAAATTCATATTACAAGAACACATTGGTATTGAAGGAACTAGATACTGTTCCGAAATATCACTTAATCGAACCGTCCTGACCGCGTAGCTCAGTTGGAAGAGCATATTGCGCTAGTATTCCAAAGGTCGTAGGCTCGAATCCCAACGTGGCCGGGCATATTTTTCAAGCTCGCCCGGTGTGGATATGCACTCAGAGTAACATCACAGACATATTATTCACCTGAGTACACAACACCAGCACAGAAAAAATTCATATTTCACACTAGTGCGGAAACAAAATAAATATATGTTATTTACCGACTGCGAGGTCGGTACTAAAAAAATATTTTTCCTAGGTCTCAAAAGCGGCCCGAGGCCGAAGGCCGTGAGACGCTTCTGAGGGAAAATATTTTTAGTACGGAAAGAACTAAACGGTAAATATAGTGTTCATTTTTCTATTTGATAGTTCACGGTTATAATGAATACCGATAAAATTCCAGTTGTTGGAAGTACATTTGAGATCAGTTGCGTTTGTTACCTTGGTGCAAGCATGGCTGTGAAACTGCTAAAATGATGCAATAAAAGTTGGATAAATGGCTTTTGTTTCATTGCAATAGATGCTTTTCAATTCAACAAGGAAACAGAAGGTAGACTAAGTAAAAAATATTTATCTTCCGGATTGTTTTACATCATGGACATGGTTGAAAAATGCTTTTTGACAGAAAAATACAAATTTTAGGTGCCGAAAAACAATTTGTTCATTACAACTTTTGTAAAAACAATTTTGACTGAAATAAGCTTAGGAAGTGTCTTTAAACTTGGCATTCACAGTACTTTTTTAAAGTTAATTGTTTAGGGTCAAGTTGTACGTTTTCTATCGATCCTTTATTTCCGCCCAGGATCGAACTGGGGACCTTGCGCGCGTTAGGCGCACGTGATGACCAGTACACTACGGAAACCTGTATCCCGATAAATGTTCGCCAATGCATGGCTAATTCATTCCCAGGTGTGGAAATTTTACCTGGTAGAAAACTAATTGATATATCAGGGAAAATCCCTGTGTCGATCCAATTAATTTTTATATAATTAAATGCTAATCAGCTAAAAAATATCTTCGTGGTGTCAGTTTGAAGCAGCACAATGACAGTTAATCTCGCGTTCTGCGCATCACTCAATCTTGAGATCAATCATAGGAAACAGCTGCCATATTTATTGCTTCGTTAAATATTGAGCGGCAGGGCAGATCTCGACTGCCGGTCAATGCATTAATCAGTGTTTAGCATGAAACAGTTTTTAGGGAAGATTACGCCAGAACGGGTAATAAATAATGTGCAAGTTCTTCTCGCTTCGATGGCGAAAACGGGGGACATGGAAACAATAGAAGGAAAAGTTGATTGTGCAACCCGTACGCGCGTCACAAATTAACGGTCTTTAAAAATTGGTTTACCTTTTCACAATCGATTATGTACGCAAGTTAAAATTTGATAATAAACAGCCTTGCATCGGAACACATATCGGAACACATTTAGCATTGCGCGTGCATGTGTAGAGCACGTGATGACCACTACACTACAGAAACTTGGCAGATGAAGCACGAGTTCAGTGCGTTGCTGAATTTTGCTCTTTTTATTTTCTGTAAATAAAACACCAAATGCATGGTTCTGCCCAGGATCGAACTGGGGACGTTGCGCGCGAAAAGCGCATGTGTTGAGCGCTACACTACAGAAACAAGCGCATGCTCTGAAGCCTTTGAAAACTTACCCAGTTTGAAACGTTCAAAATTGACTGAAAATTCATTCATTTAATCCTCCCGCAGAAGTCCGTTTTGATTCTTCTCTTGAAGCAATAATAATAATAATAATAATAAATAATTTATTCATTTAAATAAAGCGCCTATGCTATATTATATACTCGAAGTGCTGTACATTATAAAAATCTAAATCTATTAAGAATTAAATATGCTATATAACACATGGTATTGTATACAATTAGAATATACACTAATGTATGTATCTATAATAAGAATGATAGAATCCAATATGGTCTCAACCTATAAAGGATTATAAACCTTATTAAAAGGAAATGTTTTCTAGCGTTTCTTGAACACAGAAATGTTTTCACAGTTCCTGACATCCAGAGGCAGAGAATTCCATAATTGTGGAGCGGCATGTGCGAAAGCCCGCTAGAGTCTTACAGTTTGTTTTCGAATGTATAATAGACCTTGAGCATCCGATCGTAATGTCCAACGATCACATGGGGTGATGTGGGAAAATCTTGGACAGTGGTAGATTAGTCTAGCAGCGGCAATAAGAACTCGCTGAATTCGCTGGACTTGATACTGAGGTATGCCAGCCAACAGAGCATTACAATAATCCACGTGTGATGTCACGAAAGCATGTATCAAAGTTTCCGTTGTATTAGTAGATAAAAATTTTCTAATTTGTCGTATTTATAAAGTCCTCTGAATGCTTTACTGCACATCTTGCCTACATGAACTGACATTGACATATGCTTGCGAAACCAAGATCCCAAGTTTCGAACACTATCAACCGGCTTAATTTGGACCCCACCAACGTTAACGGATTCAATGTTTATTTTCAAAAGTTGTTGTGGTGTACCAATTACAAGACATTCCGTTTTCGAATCTTTGAACATTAATTTATGAGACAACAGCCAAGTACGAACATCAGAAATACAATCTTCCATTGCGGCTAGGATACTTTCTGAATTATATTCACAATCTGGGCGAAAGGATACATAAAGTTGCGTGTCATCAGCATATCCATGAGAAGAGGGTAAGTGCCTGTCAATAATGTCATATAGTTGGGATACATAAAGCAGAAAAAGTACGGGGCCAAGACAACTCCCTTGAGGCACTCCGTACTTAAAGTGCTTATGAAACGAAATTTTTACCTCATTTTTTACCTCATTTTTTATTGTCTTATTAAAAGGTACTGTTTAAATGATGAAGAATGACGTTTACAGTTTGTTCGTATCTCATCTCATTCCCAAGTTATCGCACTTTCTATATTTTGAGTTGGGATGTCACTAGTTTGACTCAAAATAGTGGCAAAACAAGAAAATCTGATATCTTGATGATCATTTAATAAAATTCAATTAAACTTGGCACACTTGGTGCGTGCAACGAAGTGAACAATTTGGCTTGTTTTTGTGGTTCTTATGGCAACACACTCGTCACCAGTCCCCTCTCTTCCAATTTCTATATGATACGTTTCCAACGAAATAAATGGTAATTTCTGCAATTGTCGCTTATTACTATCATACGTATCGGTATTGTGACCAGTTTAAACCGTTATAACATACAAACATCCTCTGCAAGAGGTCTACGGCAGGAAATTTGTGAAAAGGAAGAGAAGAGATTGGGCACTAGTGTGTTGCCATGACAACCACATGACCTTCCTAAAATATTCATATGGGTGCACCCACTAAGTGTACCGAGTTTCATTGAATTTTATTAAATACTCACTAAGATATCCGACTTTCTTTTTATTGCCATTATCTCAAGTCAAACTAGTGACCTTACAACTCGAAATTTGGAAAGTGCGATAACTTGAGAATGAGATGAGATATGAAGAAACTGTAAACGTCATTCTTCATCGCCCTAGCAGTACTTTTTAGCAAAGCAATAAAAAATGAGGTGAAAATTTCGTTTCATAAGCACTTTAACATCGCAGTCTTCAGAAAAATTGTTATCCAAATCAACTCTCTGTTTCCAGTTCAATAGATATGATTTTATACATTCAAGAGCCATATCCGTCACTCCAAATTGATACTCCAATACGTCATTGATAGTTTTTTAGGGATCGGATCAACCTTGTAGCTGGCACTGGACAATTGCATAATAACATCATAAATATCCTGGAAAGAAAGTATCTCAAAAGATTCTAATTTGACTTCAGGATTACGGTAATGCACCAACGGAGGATCGACATGGATACTGTCCACATTTTCTCTAATCAATTCAATTTTGCGGAAAAAATATTCGTCGAACCTATTCGCTAATTGACCAAGATCGTCATGAGGTGGTAAGGGATCTTCATGCGGTGCATTACAAAGGGAGCTCACAATTCTGTAAAGATTCTTTGGATCGTTGGAACTATCACTGATAAGGGAAGTATAATAATCAGTTCGGGCTTTATTCAACAAGTAACAATACCGGTTACATATTTTGCGATAGGCAGTCCAATCTACTTCTAATTTTGTTTTCCGCATCTTTCTCTCTAGTCTCCTACGCTTTACTTTCAATTGTCTTAGTTCGTAATTGTACCAAGGAGTTGAACGCTTAACTTTCATTAGCTTTCTTCGGACAGGAGCATGGGTATTTAAAATACGTGAAAGTACGTCATCATAGCAATGCACTAATTCATCAAGATGTGCAAAGTTTTCGCAATGTGAATTCACATTGCTTAGATCAAGTTTAAAGTCAACAATGTCAATCTTTTTCAGTTCACGATAAGAAATTAGCTTTTTGGAGTCATTCGGACGAGTAATAGATAATTTACATTCTACAAAACAATGATCGGACAGAAAGAAAGTACTCTCAATCGAAAGGATATTAATGCAACTTGTAGATCGATTTATCAATAGATCCAGTGTATGATTGGACGAATGAGTTGGAGTACAAACATGTTGTTTGAGGCCAAATGTTTCAAGCATCTCATTAAATTTTATCGTGTTCCTGTTAACCGTATCATCCAAGTGAAAATTAAAGTCCCCGGTAATCAACAGAATTTCTGGACATAGAACAATATCCTCCAAATAGTTTGAGAATTTTTCAAAGAATTTTCCAGGTAGAACAGGGTGAGCCGCGCAATAAGGTGGACGATAGATAGCAATAAGTTTAATAGAATATTCAAGTATGGAAAAATTCCACTATGAATATTCAAAGATTGCGTTTCTCCACCACCTGAAAGAGAGACATATAAATTGGTGTTAAACGTTACGCCTGTGCCTCCTCCTGATCTGTTAGATTGACGGGGAAATGATTTAAATGAATATCCATGGAGACAAACGCCTGCAATACTTGTTGTGTCCACGTCCTTCAACCAACTCTCAGTTACAACACAAACATCAATATTTTGATCAACAGTATAGTCGGAGAATACAGCTACCTTATTTCTTAGTGATCTAGCGTTAATCGTTGCAAAACGTAACATATCTGGTTTTGGATTTGAGAAAAATTTTACACATACTAAGTTGTTGACATTAAAGGTGATCTACAGTCCGTATGGAAACAAAGCCTTTGTTTACATTTTTGTGTCCAAAATATTGAGCTTTATTCGACAGCTATTTATATTTTCAGGCTTCTAGAGTATAATAAATGATCAAGAAACAACAATCAGGCTTTTCAAGAACTCGAAACATAGTTAAACCGTTTGTATCATAAAAAGTGGGCTCATCTGTGCACATGCGCAGATCGGACTGTAGATCACCTTTTACTTTCCTTTCATGAGTTCTCGGCCTTGTCTTGGCACATAAATTATTTCGACGAACTGTAATTCTAGTAGGAATTTTGCAAACAAGTTCAATAGACGGAACAGAATCCAAATTACTTTTATTACTTCGCTGCTTTATTATATTGATATTCTTTGGATAGTTAATATCAGCAGTATTGGGACTAATTACGCGTTCGTTAATTGAAGGAGCAATGACGTGCGATGCAAGTAACGATTGTTGAGTTAGTTGCGATCGGATGTATATTTCTGGTTTAATTAAATGAAATATTTTTTCTCTATTATTTAAGAAAGTAAAATGATGCAAAGTACAGTAGGCGCAACGGTTGTCAGCTGTCAGGATGGCCGAGCAGTCTAAGGCGCCAGACTAAAGTTTCCAGTCTTGCTTCGCTAATGCGCAACCAAAGGGCGTTCTGGTCCACTAATGTGTGCGTGGGTTCGAATCCCACTCCTGACAGATAATTTTTAAATTATTGCGTGAGGCCATTGAATATATTGGTGCAATTCTTAATCCTGAGGATGACTATAAAGCAGTCGAAACGATGATTAAAAACCACAATGTTGTTCGGAGTTACTGTTATTTTGTGTTTTGTTGACATATTTCACACTAGTGCGGAAACAAAATAAATATATGTTATTTACCGACTGCGAGTTCTGTACTATGAAAATTTTTTCCCGAGGTCTCAAAAGCGGCCCGAGGCCGATGGCCATGAGACGTTTCGGAGGCCGAGGGAAAATATTTCTTAGTACGGAAGGAACTAAACGGTAAATAACGTGTTCATTTTTTTATTTGATAGTCCGCGGTTATAATGAATAGCGATAAAATTCCAGTTGTCGTAAGTACATTTTAGATCAGTTGCGTTTGTTATTTTAGTGCAAGCATGGCTGATAAACTGCTAAAACGACGCGATAAAAGTTGCATAAAAAGCTTTTAGTTTCATTGCAATAGATGCTTTTCAATTCAACAAGGAAACAGAAGGTAAACTAAGTAAAAAATATTTATCTTGCGGATGGTTTTACATCATGGACATGGTTGAAAAACGCTTTTTGCCAGAGAAATACAAATTTTAGTTGCCGATAAACAATTTGTTCAATACAACTTTTATAAAAATTATTTTGACCTAAACAAGCCTAGGAAGTGGCTTTAAACTTGTCATTTAAAGTAGTTGTTTTAAATTTTATGTTTAAGGACAAGTTGTACGTTTTCCATCAATCCATTGTTTCCGCCCAGGATCGAACTTGGAACTTGCGCGTTTTAGATGCACGTGATGACCACTACACTACGGAAACCTTCAAGCCGATAAATGTTCGCCAATGGCTAACTCTTTCCCAGATGTGGAAGTTTTACCTGGGAGAGAACTACTTGATATATGAGGGAAAACCGCTGTGTCGATCCAATTAATTTTTAAATAATTTAATGCTGACCCGCTAAAAAATTCTTCGTAGTGTCAGTTTGATGCAGCACATTGACAGTGAATCTCGCGTTCTCCCCATCACCATCATTGAGATAAATCGTGGGAAACAGCAGTAATATTTATTGCTTCGTTAAATATTGGGCGGTAGGGCAGATCTCGACTGCTCGTCAATGCATTAGTCAGTGTTTAGTTTGAAACAGTTTTTAGGGAAGATTACGCTAGAACAGGTAATAAATAATGCGCAAGTTCTTCTCTCTTCGATGGTGAAAACGTGGGAATGCATGCTTCCGCCCAGGTTCGAACCGTGGAACTTGCGCGTGTTAACCGCACGGGATAACTACTACACAAATAATACTTGCCCGGTGAAGCACGAGTTCTGTCCGGTTGCGGAATTTTGCTCGAAACACCAAGTGCAGCTTCTCCCCAAGATCGAACAGGGGACCTTGCGCGCGTAATGCGCATGTGATGACCGCAACACTACAGAAACAAACGCAAGCTTGGAACCATTTGAAAACTTCGCCTGTTTCAAACGTTCAAAATTGACTGAAAATTCAATCGTTTGATCCTCCCACAGAAGCCAATTTTGATTCTTCTCTTGAAGCAATAGAAGGATCACTGACGTGCGATGTAAGAAACGATTGTTGAGTTAGTTGCGGTCGAATGTGTTTTTCTGGTTTAATTAAATGAACTATTTTTTCTCTATTATTTAGGAAAGTAAAATGATGTAAAGTACAGTAGGCGCAACGGTTGTCAGCTCTCAGTATGGCGGAGCGGTCTAAGGCGCAAGACTCAAATTTCCAGTCTTGGTCCGCTGATGCGCAACCAAAGGGCATTCTGGTCCACTAATAGACAGATTTAGATCGTGGACGCGGACGTCAAAGACGACGTGAAAATGACGTCAAAATGTGGTGGCATATCCATACATGGACACAACACGCCATTTTCACGTCGTCTTCGACGTCCGCGTCCTCGATCTAAATCTGTCTAATGTGTGCGTGGGTTCGAATCCCACTCCTGACAGAAAATATCTTAATCCTGAGGATGACTAACAAAACAGTCAAAACGTTGATTTAAAACCAAAATGTTGTTCGGAGTTACTGTTATTTTGTGTTTTGTTAACATATTTCACGCTAGTACGGAAACAAAATAAATATTAATAACTTGCTGACCGAGAGTGAGGGCAGTACGGGAATATATCCAACCGAGGTCTTGCTGTCTTGTTCGAGCGATAGCGAGGTCAATGCAGCAAGACCGAGATTGGTATTTTCCAGTACTGCACGAACGGTTGAGGTTAGTAAGTTTTTTATTATATGGCATTGTACGTTTGTAAAAAATGGAAGAAAAGTTCACGCGAGGGCAAAGTACAAAGTCCGAAGCAGTTTGCCCTTTACAAAAAAAACAATTGTAAAAATGTACTTTGGTTTATTGTAAAACTGCCGTATACAGTACTTTTGGTATAGAATACTAACATAGTTTGGATGGTATTTCAAGAAAAATACGAGGTATTAATTCGTCATTTAATCAAAGACAACAAATATGACAAGAATAAAATTCAATAAAATTCCAAAAAGAAGTATATTTTTAGTTCGCTTCTTCTCATACTTTTGTCTTTTTTAATCGAACAAAAACAGAAATTTTCGGGGGAAAATTATAAATCTGTTGCTGTTTTAGTTATATTTTTTATTTAGAATCATGTCAAATTCCTCCTGGCTATCTGCGAATAGAATTTGCAGCTCTTCGCATTGTCAAAACACAACTATTCCTGTCTGCTTTTATAGTTATAAACATTGTAAAATTTACCTAGTAATTTTGAATTTCGACAACAAAAACGCATGGAGAAAGTTGTTAACCACAGCTGTTGCTCCTATTTTTATTTTAGATTTATTTTTTTTCGTTTTGAATAGCTTTGAACAACTTTTAGACACTTTTTGCGGTTTGAAACTCGGCTCGCGTTCGAGTTCTCGTTGCAGGGCAATAAAAATTACGTATCGCCCGCGTAGTGGGCAATACGGGAAAATCCTTCCTCATTTTCAACAGCCAATCAAATTGCGCGATTCATCAAAACAAATCGTGCTATATAATATACACTAAATGTCTGCTCCCGAGGGAAATAGTCAGTTTTGTTTTCCCAATAATCTCAATGTTCAGCCAATCACGTTTGGTGTTCAAAAAATCAGCCAATCACGTTTGGTGTTCACGCTAGCTATATGACAATAAATATTGTTATATAGCTAGCGTGAACACCAAACGTGATTGGCTGATTTGTGATCACGTGACGTCAGATAAATGCAATGTTTCCCGCCTGGCAACAAGTGAAAAGTTGTTGGCCGCCCCGACCGGCCATCTACATAAATAAACAAAATGGAGGCAAAACTCATATAATTAGAAACTACGATTTTCCAAGATTGTGTTCAAATAAAGAATATAAAAGAGAAGAAAAATACACAACAGGCAACTGGATATGCTGCTGAAACCGTTTAAGTAGGTTCTTTTAATTTTAACTCAATTCGATCCGCCAATATTAATTTCCGACGTATATGACGGGAGATTAAATATTAAAGAACTTCGCGAGTATTTGCAGTAGACATACGAAAATACCACCAAAAAATTCCGCTTGATCGATACTATATATTCGGAAATATTGATATAATTTTATTGTTTCTCGCTCAATTTCAAGCGAATTTCTTACCTTGAAATGATCAATGCAGTGAAATTTATGCAAATGACACATCAATTTTGCTGTTGCATTTTGAATGTTCCGCCTGATTCAAATGCTCGTCTTTTCGCTTCTTTTCAACGTATAATTAATAACAAATATACCAAAAGAATCGCCATCTTCCATTCTATAGCTCGGAGCAGTCTCGGGAAATTGCAAAATAATCTAAGCCTATTATGGCAATTCTCGTGATCGGAAAGTGTTCGGCCAACTTCGGACGCCAAATTCTTGATAAAGCATTACAGTTTCCTGGTGAAAGACTGCAGGAATCACTTCCGGAGTATTTGTTTACCCTAGATACGGATTTTGATTGGCTTAGACAGAAAAACAAATCTTTTAGAGCAATTTTCCTGATTATCGCGCACGGGAACGCACGAGCGTTGAAATGTATTGTGTTGTAGTTTTGTTTGAATCGCATTCTGAAGACGTTTTTGGCTTTATTTTGCAAACTGATAGTTCTAGTAATGATGGAATGTCTTCGTATGAAGACAAGTATCTCAACCTGGTATTGGGAGTCGTGTCTGGAGTTTCAAGGCAAGTATTTGTATCATTTCTAGACAATTTCTATTTCAATGTTTTGCCGTTGCCATGGCGTTGTAAATTTAATTTTAGTATAGCTTCATTAGTACGACAAAGTATGTCCTCATATCGCTTTTTTGTGTTGAAATAATCGTTTCATACTGAAATTGACAAATATAAATGGTATTTATTTATATTGTTGACGAAAATTTATGGTGTTTTAGGCATAAAAATCTCTGATTCCTAGGTGAAGTAAAATGAGCCTTGAGCACATGTTTGGTTGTTTGTTACATACATAATAGCCAAGTATTCATACTTATATCTTACTAGTTGGCTCTTATTATAATTTTAAGTGGCACCATGTCTATAAAAGTTTTTATTTGCACTGATGAATATATTGATCCTGTTCCTCACTGCTGTTCCTGTTTCATAGCCTCAGGGAAGTAGAGTTCTGATGAGTCACGAGAACCCCACTCACCAACCCAGAGGGAAGGTAGGGGGATGAGTAGAGGTAGAGGGAAGCCCAGCCATTAGGACCTAAGGTTTCGAAAGCTCCCTGTCTAGCATCTCCACTAGGCCCCATACTACATGACGGATATGATGATCCTGACGCTAGGAATGTTCTCCCAGATTTTGCTCCTCACTGACATGCCCGGGATCCATTTCGATCAACTGTGAGCTTGAGTTCATTCGGCTCAATGAACTGTGAGCTTGAGTTCATTCGACTCTTTTTTACTAAGGGAATGCTTCAGGAGGTAGTTTCCTGGCCATACCAATGCATATGCCGACATACAAATAACTCAAAAGTTATCCCCATATACTAATAAAGAAGGGTCTTGCAGTCCACCAACCTTGAGAGGTTGATTGCCTTTTAGTATAATATGCAGTTTTGCTAAAGGTCGACAGTCAGATTGAAAATTATTGGAGTGTAAAAATCTTATATCATGGTCTGTGGGCAATAGACATAATTTCTCGGGTTAGGTACAAAGCGCTTATGGCGTTTGTGAATATGGTAGATCCTGTACTAAAGACTACAGCAATAAACTGCATCAACAACTGTACCAGCTGTCACAGAATATTGTTGTTGCAGACAAACACACTGTCAAATCAAGAAATAGGTTGGGGGTTAGGCAGTTCATGAAAGCTAGATGACCTACTATGTGGGGAATAAATCTGTGGGTTGCTGCAGACAATCCTAATGGTTATATTGCAACTTTGAAATTTATACAGGAAGAAGTCCAGATATTCATCGCAACAGATTTGGGTATGACGTGGTGATCTGATATCAGTTTGGTTACAGCCTTAGGTCTTTTGTAGTACAATGTAAAGGAAATATTTTCACCACATAATCCAATTATGTGCTTTGGCAAACATTACTGCTTTAGCAAACATTACTGCCTTGGAAAACATTACTTTTTTATAACTACTAATTATGATGATGCCAGTCCAACAACACTTGGTCATGCTATTTGCAAATATTTTCATGTTCTAGATTGTGAAAACAATCAATTTCTAAACAAATGACTAGTGATTATTTCAAATTTGAATAGCAAGACCAAATTTTGAGGCTGGTTATGACACTAATATTTATTTATTTATTTTTTTTATTTATTTATTTATTTAATTTACCCAAAAACAGGAAGGGCGCACCCACAGAGCCGAAGCTCCAATAACGGGTTCCCCGCGTGAGTTGTAAAATACATAGAAATATTGTATACAAAGAGTTAAACACTAAATAGTTCATCACAACAAAAAACAACAAAAAGTCATCACATAATATAAAGAAAGGGCACTAGCAGCACAAAGTGTCACTGAGTGAATCCAAAGGACGGGCTTTGTGACATTTGACACAAACAGTCTTGTATGTGTGCGGCAATTCTGGGTTATAAACAATAGAAGTTAATAAAAAATAGTATTTAAATAGACAACGTTTAAACGAAGACAATAAAGTTAAGTTTCTTAAAGATAATGGTAGAAAAATAATAACTAAAGTCAATGGTCTAATGATTATCTAAGAATGTATGTAGTAATTGTAGAAATAAAGACATTTTGCTAATCATGATTTGAGTGTTTTTTTGTGGGTATCACAGACTTATTTTGGTGCCATACCATCTTTGGAGAGTAAGAAATATTGGAAATTTGTATTGATAACATGTTGCAGCAATAAAAAAGGACCTTTGATAAAGGTATTTGTTTCATGTGAGCACAAAATGTAAATTTTACTCCATTACCTAGTTTATATAAAAATTCAATAAAAATATTTCTATTTATGCTACATGCATGAAACTTCGGGTACTTGTAGATAATAACCGTGTCTTTCAGTCATATTCATAAATTTTTTTGACATATTTGAAATTTGAACCGCTAAATACATTTATGCATAATTGCAACATTTTTTATATCATAATTTATGCAAATTTATGCGAGTAAATCGTTAACCAAGCTCCAGATGAAATTGAAATTGCTATCGTTGGAAAGCAGAAGTCCTCCTCTTTCGCACGATGCAATTTCTGTTTCCGTGCGATGTATAGTTTGAGAGATATAAGCGTTTGAAACAACACCACTCGAAATTGCTACTTTTCCACCGGATGAGAATGAGTTTTAAACTCGTTTACACTATAGAGTTTTCGTCCCGAAATACAATTGTTTGTATGAATGTTGTTGAACTTGAATTTTGTTCGTCGCAATATAACAAAACACTTAATGCCTGTTCCCTCGGGAAATAGTTAGTTTTGTTTTCTTCGACTTCGTCTCGGGAAACATAGAGATTCTCGGGAAAACAAAACTAACTATTTCCCTCGGGAGCAGACATTAAGTGTATATTATTTACCGACTGCGAGGTCTGTACTAAAAAAATATTTTCCCGAGGTCTCAAAAGGGGACCAAGGCCGAAGGCCGTGGGACGCTTCTGAGGCCGGCGGGAAATATTTTTTAGTACGGAAGGAACTAAATTGTAAATAACGTGTTCATTTTTTATTTGATAGTTCACGGTTATAATGAATACCGATTAAATTCCAGTTGTTGTAAGTACATTTGAGATCAGTTGCGTTTCTTACTTTGGTGCAAGCATGGCTGAGAAACTGCTAAAACGACACGATAAAAGTTGGATAAAAAGCTTTTAGTTTCATTGCAATAGATGCTTTTCTACTCAACAAGAAAACAGAAGGTAAACAAAGTAAAAATATTTATCTTCCGGTTTGTTTTACATCATGGACATGCTTGAAAAATGTTTTTGGACAGAAAACTACAAATTTTAGTTGCCGAAAAACAATTTGTTCATTGCAACTTTTATAAAAACAACTTTGACACAAATAAGCCTAGGAAGTGTCTTTCAACTTGGCATTTAAAGTATTTTTTAAAATCTTATGTTTAAAGACAAGTTGTACTTTTCCATCAATTCAATCTTTCCGCCCAGGATCGAACTGGGGACCTTGCGCGTGTTAGACGCACGTGATGACCACTGCAACATAGAGATTATAAATAACACAAGAGGAGCCATCGAGTTTAAAATTGGGAACGCAGCTAATGGGGGAAAATTCAAGTCCCGGATATAAAATCGTGCTCTCATTGGCTGTTTTGAAACTCGTCACCAATGGAAACACGAATACACATCCGGGACTTGAATTTGCCCTCAATAGTCGCGTTCCCTTCCCATTTTTTTACTGAATTAAGATTATAATGCCTGTTCTAGTGTTATTGATTATCTCTATGCACTACACTACGCCGGATACCTGCATGCCGAGAAATGTTCGCCAATGGTTGTTTCATTCCCAGATGTGGAAGTTTTACCTGGGAGAAAACTACTTGATATGTCCTGGAAAATCGCTGTGTCGTTTCAAATAATTTTTAAATAATTAAATGCTAATCAGCTAAAAAATTTCTTCGTGTTGTCACTTTGAAGCAGCACATTGACAGTGAATCTTGCGTTCTCCCCATCACTCAATCTTGAGATCAATTGCGGGAAACAGCTGTCATATATATTGCTTCGTTTAATATTGGCGTTTAGAGTTTAGCATGAAACAGTGT